CCCTCCTCCTCCTCCTCCTCCTCCTTCTCTCTCTCTCTGTCCCTCTGTCTGTCTCTCCCTCTCTCTCTTTTCTCTGTGAAGCCACTCTCTGCCACCTCCCGCCAGGAATAGATGCCGTCTGAGGTCCTCACCAGAAGCAGATGCTGGCACCACCCCTCTTACTGCCTGCAGAACTATGAGCCAATAAAACTTTTAATGAATTTCTCAGCATCAGGGATTATTCTACTGGGACCAGCCCTTTCGAGATAGTGCTCCCCAACCCGATCCAGCAGTGTGGTCTTCAGTCACCCAGAGCATGATCTTTAGTCTTATTCCCCCTGCTCCTCTGCGTCAGCACCTCTGCCCCAACACGGGCCTGGTACAGCCAGTCACCCTAGCCCCACAGCTGGATGGCTAGAGCCGACAGCTTTTTTTCTTTTTCCTTTTTTTTTTTTTTCTCACTGTCTTGATCGAGTTATAGAGCTGGAAGCTTTTTAAACCAAGTCAGGTGGCCTCAGTCCTCTGCTCCAAGCTGTCCAGTGGGCTCCGCTCACTCGCAGTGAAAGGCAGAGCCCTGTCGGCGGCCTGCAGACCCAACATGATCAAGTCTTTCCTCTCTGGCCTCCTCCCACCTCCCACACTCCCCGCTGCTCATGCTGATGCAGCCACTCAGGGCCCCTGGCCCTTTCTGAAACACACCATGCCCACTTCTGCCTCAGGGACTTTGCACTGGCTTTCTCCTGTCGGGAACTCTCTTTCTCCAGCATTACCCACAATTGTCACCCTCTCAGAGAGGCTTTTCTAACCAGCCTCCTTAATACTGCATCCTGCCTCCCCTGCCTGCCGCCTGGTCCTGCCTGTGGACTCCCTCCACTTTCAGGTCCCAGGTGTGCTGGAGACATCCCGCCCAGGGTGACCTTCCCCATGACACCCACTTCAGGCCTTAGGCCGGGGCCCCAGGCTTCAGCCAACTGCTTACCTGGACAGGAGGGTGTCTCAGGACTGAGAAGCTCCCTCCTCACTGATTCCACACCCTTAGCTGTCACTGGGCACGAGGCTGATGATCTTCCAGCTTCTATCACCAAGAAGCATTTCATTCCAGAGCCATGAGAATCTGAGACGGAGGGGTCCCTGGAGCTGGACTCTGTGGGCGGGAGGGGGCAGCTCCTCCTGTGCAAAACCCCCACTTCCCAGCTGGGCTCTTCCCTCCCACATGCCTCACCCTTCCATCCTCCCCTGCAGCCCCTGTACAAACCCACCAGTTTCTCCTCAACCCCAAATGCTCCTCCAGTGACAGCACTTTCTTCTCCTCCTCTCCACAGCTAGAGGGTGGCCCCTCCCAACAGTGGTCTGGACTCTGGACTCACCGTTCCTCATCCCTCCTTGCCATTCCTTCCTAGCTCAGTCATCTGAGCTGTTCCTCTAACAAACCAGAGAAAAAGAGAAAGCTAGCCCAAACAAGCAGAATGAGGACCTAGTAAATCACAAAGCAGACATCAGTGAAAGGCTAGTAAAGAATGCTATTAACAACTCTGTGACAATAAATTCAGTGACTCAGATGAAATGTATAGTTTCCTTGAAAGACACGTATTACCAAAACTGATACAAGAAAAAAAAGTTTTATATCAATTACCCATATAAACTTAAAATCAAAACCTTCCCACAAAGAAAACTCCAGGCTGGATGCCATATTGGTTAATGAATCAAACATTTAAGAAAGAAATTGTGGCTCTGTGAGGTGGCTTATACCTGTAATCCCAGCACTTTGGGTGGCCAAGGTGGGAGGACTGCTTGAGCCTAGGAGTTTGAGACCAGCCTGGGCAACATGGTGATATCTCATCTCTGCTGAAAATAAAAAAACATTAGCCAGACTTTCACCAAGATGTCGAAATAGGAACAGCTCCGGAGTGCAGTTCCCAGTGAGAGAGATTCAGAAGGCAAGTAATATCCGCATTTCCAACTGAGGTACCAGGTTCATTTCAATGGGACTGGTTGGACAATGGGTGTAGCCCAAGGAGGGCAAACCAACGCAAGGTGGGCAGCTGCCCCACCCCAGAAGTGCAACTGACTGGAGGATCAGGGGCTTTATTTTTTTTATTTTTA